ACTTTTCACTAGAATTATGTAATATTTACATGAATGATATCACACTGGCTAGAATTTTATGTCCTGTATTCCTACTTGTCAAAATCTAATCTTCCTTTACTAATGGTTTATATTTTATCACATGGTGAAATGACAGTGACTTTGAAACCACAATGTGAAACTTAAACTTTTGCTACAATCACAAATCCATTTTTTGTGGTCTTCCGCTGGAATAAACAAGATTAATTATCTTTTGTTACCCGTTATAGCTACTATTACTACTAACAATAATATCGTGCTAAGTTCAATTTATTAAATTTTAAATGTGAGATAACAGTGTCTTCCTTCCATTCATTTCTAAAGTTTTACTACTGTTTTCCCAAGAATACTAAACATTTATCACGATCTGTAATCACACCGAATCTATCAACAGTATTATGCTAAATTCATAGTTGGGTGTTACTTTTACTTTCCATAAATCTTTATCATATGACTGTTATTCATATTTCGGTAATCTTTTCCGATCTCCTGAGATGACTACGTATTAAAAAGGATTCAGTATATGTTGCATTTGTCTTTAGTAATTTAGTGTTTTTCTCGCATAGTTCTGAAACCTTCTGTATCCTGAACTCCATATATTTTGTTGTAACAGAATAGCTGTTTGAGAAATCCTTGTGAATTGTCAATATTCGACTATAATAAACCCACCTCCAGGCTAGACGTGAAGCAGTTCACTAGTAAAGAACCTAATGAGATATCTCATTGCAATCTCTTCCTTTTGCCTGTAGATATTGTCAGTGAAAGTCGTTTGTACATTAAGAGCACACCTTATGAACAGTTCTTTCAAGCATTTCGTCGGTATTCCAAGTTCAACTGATTACCATCTATATGTTTGTACATAAAAGAGACGGTTTCCATAAGTGGGACATTGGTGAAAACTGAACCGTTATCAAATACCGTTAGCATACTTTTATTAGGACATTCATGTTTTGTATGCAATCGATGAGCTAGAAAGTTTCACTGAGCAAATACGGGCATAGATCTTTCCTTACAGGTTCCAGTATTTCAGCTAAACTTTTAAAACAGAATGATAAAGGAAAAAATGAAGAGTTTAGACTTGAATACAATGGGTGACCAACTTTGTATATCTTTGGTAAATCATAATATCGTCGCACTGTTTTGTTTTCATTCTATCCACGATGTTTACAACCTTCAATGTGGTACTAAGCTTTATAGAAAGTAAAATCATACTAACTTGAATTTATGTGAAAAAAAAATTTGTTTTGTATATAGTCAAAAGTTAGAGTCGAACACATGCATTTGGATAGGACTCCCAGAAAAGTAACGAAGTGATCTATTTTCATTCCTTCGCACTGCAAGCAAAACACAGGGCTTCAAATTTCAGTCCTTGAAGTTTCAGTGACGGTAGTATTGGTTTTATATAGTGTAGTCACCAACTTTATGTCCAGTCATTCTTCTTTTATGCTCATAAACTAGGCGAGGTTTAAACAGTACATGAGCTAAGAATCGAACCCGGATCATTTGTATGAATGACAAGCATCTTGCAAATGAAAAATCTGTTCAAAAACGTAGTGAATGCACAAATATTATTACTTGTTGTAGCTAAAACTCTTATAACCAGCCTCAATTGTGAACAAACGAGTTCGGAAGTAGTTACGTTTTCCCGTGCATTAGTAATTACCTTCAATCCATTTGAAAACATAATTATAACTTTGCTGATTAGTCACACATAACGAAATTCAGTAAAAATATTTGTGTTTTAGCTAAGTGAAGCCTATCAAACGGGAACACTGGTATCCTGATAAGAGACGAATATTTGCAACCGTGTTTGTAGATGTTTCTGTAACAACAGAAGACAAGGGCCGGCAACAGATCGTTTTATTATGAAAATCAACACGTATATATATATATATATATATATATATATATATATATATATTTCATGTATATTATTATAGCTTATTCAAGTAGACAAACGCAGGCTTCTGATTGGTTGTTTTCGAGTTTCCTCGGAAAGTGGGGCCATCAATCTGCGAATCATATTTGCCCACGTTAAGTCTGCTGCGATTGGTTGTTGAATCAGCCTTGTTCATATTTCCTCACGGCCAATATTAGTGACCTAGACATTGACGTAAATTAATGTCTACCAATTGGCTAGCAGCCTGCTCTCACCACATCTCGATACCTTTATTTCTTCCTTTACACTAAAGATTACATCCATTTTGCAATCAGAAGGTTTATGAACAAGACCTCAGCAAAGGCTGAGAGCAGAAACATGGAGATAGTGATATTTACATTCTTATGGAAATACTGAAGCAACACCTTAGAAGCCTTTTCTGGATCTAATCTGAACTGATAAAATCAATTAGTTTTCTTTCATAAAGATTCTGACAAAATTCGGTATCATGCAAAGTATTTCAAAGAAGGTTTCGGAGGATATTCTTCATTTACATAAGTGCAAATGACTGTTCCATCGCTTATCTGACATCTGTGAAAGAGATTCTGTCTCTGTCTGGATTCAGCATAGAACTTGGCACCGAAGTGCAGCAGTTCGAGTTGCCACTTTCCAAATAGCCCACAGAGGTAGACAAGAAGATGAGTGAAGAGAATCAATAGAGTTTGACAAGTATAAGAGTGAAACAGAATGGGTAATGGTAGAAAGTAATATGAAAGATTACAGAGACTGAATACATCTGCGCCATTGACAACGATTTTGAGCCATGTCACCTATTGTCTCCAGCCATTGATTCCTAGAGTCCCGAGGACCCCAACCCGGGAGTCTGCATCTCCCTACCTGACTCAGTTTAACTGCCAAGGATTTCATGGATTGATGCCATGTTTTGTTTGGCCACCACTGGCTCTTTTCCAACCTTCACCTATGTCAGCTAGCAATGCCCGTCGGGGAGGCGGTGGTTAGGCATGCGCAGCACGTGACCTAGCCATCTTAGTCTATGTAACTTTATAGCCTCGTCGATTGATTTTCCCTCTTTACTCAACACTCTACGCCTAACGTCAACATTACTTACCTTATTAAACCACCTAACGTGAGACAGAGATTACTGGCAGCCCAATTTATTATACTTTTCTAGAGGGTTACGTAAACCTTTGGGGTTATAAAGACCATCTCCTGCTTGTCTGTACACTGAACTAAATGCTTACTAAGAACTTGTCGGCCGACTCTGTGGGTGGAATGTGGGATGATCTGGCTCAAATTCATTTCTAATGACGATGGAGAAGTTTTCCTTTGTATACATCAAAACACCCCTGTGTTGAATGTTTCTTTGTTTCAAAATGTTTTCAGATTACTGACATGTCGTCTTCTATTGTGTTTGTGGCATGTATTTAAAATTTCTGTCATTAATTGTGGCAACCTGAAGTAGTGCATACTGAAACCAAATCACAAGTTATTGACGCATGCTTTAACAGTATTAATCCTGTCCGCCTTTTTATTGAGTTTTAAGATGTTCCATATTTTAGGACAGAAACTGGATGGTAAGAGCTTTGCCTCCGTTGACGAACCGACTTACTTATTAGCCATTAAGATGTACCAACACATAAAAGACTATATACAAGAGAAATTTAATTTTCTTCTTAGACAATTCATTGCAGATTTCATCACCAACCAACATCAGCTAGAGATCACTGAAAACTAGCCAGGATCACTGAACACTTGTTTCTCCCCAGTCAAGACTTTTCAGCAGCGCGAACCCACAACCTTCTCAACACAGGACTTTCATGTTACGACACCGAGCTCGCTGATCATTCAGCCACTTAGAATGGAATTCAACGACCTTTGAATTCTGAATTCGTCAACTCGTGATATAGAGACGCTCTCACCTTAGTCTTCAAGGAGTATTCACTTCGCCTTAATATGGTGAATCTCGCTGGTCATTACCTCTCAATACAGCTTCAGGACTTCCATTCAGTAGCCACCAATTAGTTTGCAATCAATATGTACCTTAGGGTGCTTGTAGGGATACGGAATAATTTCAGTTTAAATTTTGTCATGAATCAAAATCAGTTGGAAAAATCATTGAGAACCATGCAGAACTGGAGAGCTATTTCGTCCTATTTTTAGACTCACGAAAAGGGAGAACCCCAGATCCTGACAGGGGTCAAACTCACAGCCCTCAGGTTACGAGACCAAGCTCATTGATAATCCAACCTTAACGGCTCCTGAATTCTAACTTTGCCAACTCATTATATAGCGATGCCCTCAACAGTGCCTCCGATGTGTATCCACTTCACTTAGACAGATCCTATAATCTAAATATCAATTACTAGCTCAATGATTGCTGCTGGAGAGATTCCCTAGAGCTGAGGTGAAAAGTATTTAGCACTTTAGTCCACCACATCAAAGTGAATTGGATGCTCATCAATGGTATTGGTTGAGGATTGTACCATATCATGAGTCGGGTCAATGTATCCCGCCGAAGTAGGTCAAAAAGATTGGTCTTGTAACCTGAAGGTCCTGGATTCGATCTCTAAATGTATCATTGGTGTACACTCCCGCAGAGTCCCAAAATATAGAAAGAAACAGCTCTCCAGTGCTTCTTGGTGGTTTTCAATGATCTCTCCAACCCAATACTGGTTTCTCGGTGAAATACATCCCTAAATCCCTTCGGAATATAGATAACTACACTGTTAGCCAAATATTGTAATAAGCTTACATGGATTAACTATATATCCACCTTTCACAGTCTTCTCGATTCATACATGAACTAACCAGTTAGGCAGATTCATGTATTTTATGTTTGCTTCAAAACATGAACGTTTCAGATAATATTTCTTTTATTCAGTACACATACATGAGACGCATAAAGTGGTTGAGGTAAATCTACACAGATTGTTGAAATGTAGTCACTTAGTAGTTAATAGAAACACTCTCATCATAAGCACTGTAAATGAATTAATTAAAATATGGTCATACATGTCTTCAACTCATTATTGTCAATGTTTTTGTCAGTATGACTAAATAGTATACAAAAACCGCCCGAAATTTATGTTTTACTGTCCAATACCGTTAGGGCGTGTAACATTTGTTGTCTTTGACAGTTAGGCAGATCCACACATGTTATGTACATATTCTGTGAATATAAATCTGATGAACTAATAGTGTCATTTTGTTGTATGTTATCATTTAACTGGACTTGCCTTCTAGATGAATTTATGATTGCATCACGATTATGATTAGGAATAATAGAGGCTGTTGCATAGGGTGTCACCACAGGTGTATATCCCTGTTCATTACAATAATCACCATTGACTGCTGTCATTGATGTTGGTGGTGTTAAAAGTGGACCTGGAGATTCATTAAAATGTTGTCTATTTGGCAGTTGTTCCAAATAAATTGCTGAATCAAATGGTTCTGAGCTAGTTTGAGAAGCTGAGGTAACGTGTGATGAATTTGTTTGTACAAGATCTTGTGTGTCATTGATGAAAAAACCGCTATTAGTTTGTGTATGTGGATTTAAACGCCTAGTGAATGTGTGATATCCTTGAGGTATATTAGAGTTGTTATTTGCAGGATTTGATGCTATGTTATGGTTTGTAGGAAATCTACCAGACTTTAATTGTGATTTAGATGGATTGATTCGAGGTTCATTAGAATACTGAAAACATTGGAGACCACAGCCGTTTAATGAACTGCCATTGGATATATTCTCTGATGATTGTCTAATAGGTAAGTATGAAACATGCGGTTGCATTTTCATGTCCAATGTCTGATCACCAGAGCTTACACTTATTGTCAAAGAACCATTACCCATCTGATTATTTAAATATCCGTTGTGTTGTACTGCACTACCCTTTGTTATTTCATTCATGCTATTCACCTTCGACTTGCAATCTTTATTTTTTGAAGGCGAATCATGTTGGAAATTGGATTGTGATATTTGATATGTAAGGCGTTTCTTACAAAATTTATTACGACGTATCCAACACACAACACATATCCCAAATATAATGCACCAGGCTAGAAGACTGCTAACTACAGCGCTAATGAACCAAGGTTGACTGATTAGTTGTTCATCTTTCACTGAATATTCTGTTAAAAATGAGACTGATGGTTTCTTCAGGTCTTCAGTAGTTCTACCTGTTGACAATTCTCTGTTCTTTTGTAAATTAATACCTTGAATTGTATCGATTTTTAGCAAATCACTTCTGATGCCAATACCCATGCATGTGTAAGCAGCTATCTGAATACTGAATGATTTCGGTAGCGAATTTAAACTAATCGCTACCTTTCTACTTCCTGAAGTCACATTTACACTGTGGTATGTTTTCAAGACTTCATCATGAATATAAACAATGTATCCAAGAATAATACCATTCCAGTCGGACACACGTGGTGCTGTCCATCCTACCTCTAAACTTTCACTGAATAACCAACCGGCGAATATATTTCTTGGAGGAGACGCTGGACTTGTTTCATAGGTGAGTGCTGTATGTGTAAAGATATCACTAGTTTCTAAGTAGTTCACGGATATTTTGCCACTGAATGCTCTGATACCAACTTCATAACACCGAAATGGTCTAAGTTCTGTTAATAAGGAAGTGATCTTATGATTTATACGTTGTGAATGCTTATCTAACTCACTTTTCACATAATTTGCATCGATAGTCACGGTTGAAATAACTCCGGGCAGTGAAGTAACAGAATCCGTAGTATTACTTTCTTGTTCTTCTTGACAGATTTGTCTCATCAACTCCAGACGTTTATAAACTTCACTGACACTTGCAGATTTATGATAGTTTTCAGGATTTAGGCTACAATAATTATTTATGAAGTTCTTATCACTTAGGCTGATTTGTGAATACTTGTCATTCAAACATCTTACATGTTCCACACTGCGATAGTAGATGATGTATCCACTTATCCTTGATAAGACTGAAGCTTCTTCATACACATTCCAACTGACATGAATGCTTTTAGATGACAAGACCGTCAGTTGGACATTTTTTAATTCCACAGGTTTTAAAATAAACTCATCGACGGTAAGATTATCACTTTTTGAACTATTCTCAGCATAATTATTTAATGTTTCCGTGTATATAGGTCCAAATGGATCACTTGCCCAGCCTACACGACCCTGACCTAACTTAGCACGAATTATAATATAATAAGGAATGTTAACACTAAGACCATTTAAGGTAATCAAATTAACCGGCCAACTACGTTCAATTACAATCCATCCATCATTGGGTCGATCAGGTGTATAAAGTTCAATCCAATAATTCATAGGTAAAATAGATCTACTATGACTTCCTGTAGCATATAAAAATGGAGGATTCCAAGTTAATGTAACACTTTGCTCTGTTGTATTCATTACTTGAAGATTATTTGGAGCAGAAAGAGGATATTCTTGCAGATAATCCGAAATACCTTCTTTCGGTTTAGAAAATAATACAGTCAAATGGATTGTAGCCTCATTTATAGCATGTGTATCATCTTTGACTAGACAAGTGTACACACCAGAATCATTAATCTGCAAATCATTTATTTGTAAACTTCCACTCTGAAGAATTTTAAATCTCGAACTATTCCGGTGAATAACTCCATTAGTAAGCTGATTCATGTTAGCATTCGATAGTGAAGAACGTTTCCAGCTTACTTCCCAATGTTCAGTTGATTGAAGACTAAATGTATCCGCGTTATCCTGACCAAGATGTTTATCATCTTTCAGTTTATGTGAATAAACTATTTTAACAAAACGAGGTATTTCACAGTCAATCAGAACAGACTTTCCAACTACCTGAGTTTTATTCGATGGAGGTAATCCAATATACGGTGGAACATATCTTACTGCTTTCGATGCGCTAGACGATGTCTCATCCGATTTAGCTTCTTAGACTCGTTAACACTTTGAGCATAATTTAAAGATAGTGTGTTTGTGGCTTTCTTTTTACGTTTAACTCTTAACACTGCACTCGTCTGCACCATATCAACCGAGGAATGTGCAATACAGTGGTATTTACCAGCATCTTGTAATGTAATCGAATTTATTTCCAATGTTCCATTATTATAAACGCGATATTTATTTGATGTTTGTTTTTCAAGCAAATTGTCTGATGGGAAAATAGGACTTTTGTCCGGCAATTCCCAGTAAATACTCGGCTTAGGAATTCCATCCACAGAACAGAGAAAAACAGCCTTCTCACCTACATTTAAATTCAAATCGCTTGGTGATTTCAGGAATATTGGCGGTGTTTCAACTGTTAAACGTATCTCGACTTCATCTCCATTTTGCGCTGTGCATATATAAACATCAGAATCAGTATATCTTGCGTGACTGATGATTAGGTAAGTTTTTCTCTGTTCAATTCTATCTGAAGCAATCACAGAATCTTTTGATTTCCGTCTCCACTTTATCGGCTTATCGGTAATGATGGATGGACAAACCAACTTAACTTGTTCACCTTGTCTTGCTCGGATGTGCTTTGCTCCTCTTTTAATATAATCATGTGATTTCACTTGTAAACGTGCAGAACGGGACAGTCGTTTGCCAATCAGATTTGATGCTGCGCAAACATAATTTCCAGTGTCTTTAATACTTACTGGATGTATTCTAAGCTTACCGTCTAGCATTATTCGAATATTTGATAAATGAGAGCTTTGTGATTTATTCGCCTCAATAATAGTTTGATTATCCTTGATCCAAAATATCATAGGCTTTGGAAATCCCTGTGGAGGAGTGCAGTCAAATGTTACACTGGCTCCTTGATCTGCTTCAATATCAGTCGGATTTAAAGGGAATTCAGAGTCGAGATATGCTATAGCTCCTAGAACTGGTGGCCAACTTGTTACCCAACCTACAGAATTTGTTGCATTACAATAAACAAAGTAAGATTTTCTTGGAGCTGGATTAGAAATCATCAAATTGCCTTGGTGTTTATTCATATGTATGCTTGTTTGATGACCAGATGTCTGAAATCTGTCTATCAAAGGCTCACCAGTACTTGCATTATACCAAATAATTAGAGGCGTTGGATTCCCTTGAGCTTTACAAGTGAATTCAAGAACACTCTCAGTTGTGATGACGTCATCTGGAGCTTTTATAATAATTGGTTTTCTAAGCTCACTATTATCCTGTGGCTTTGAAATATCCAGCGATAATAAGAATCTGATATTTACAATGAGATAAAAAATTAATGAGAGTATCCTGTACATTTGGTATACTACTGATATAACACCTCTAAGGGATACTTGACGAAGCGAGAGATTTGGTTTCACCCAAATGGTTTAGAATCTAAAATAACAGAGAAACACACAGATACTAACTTTTTACAGTATATTAGAGAAATATGAGTAATTATGAATAATGACAAAATCAGATGGCTATATAAGCGAATGGTTGACTAAAAGATGTAATCTACGAACACTCTTTCTGATGAATAAATATGAACGATACCTCTATCTTACCTAGAAAAAAATGGATATCAGCGTTGATATAAGAATAAAACTTGTGCACTGTGGTAAAGTTTAATTCCATTATGGGTGAATTTCGTTTTGATAAAGTCTCACAGTGTTATACAGTAATGTTTACCGATGACGACGTTTCGAGCACAATTTATTGCTGCTCATAATCGTATCAAGGTACTCACACAACTTTCGAAATTCGTTTGTATAATTCCATTATTTTCCATCGCTTGATTTGATTGGGAGTGGCATTTTCCACATTTTGGGTAAGAGTGATGAATCATTTCTGTTGCATGTGTTGGGTGTGTAGATTCGATGAACAAGGATTCAGCAATCAAAATACGACCCCATACGACTAATAGTAGACTCTAGAAATACACCTGCTTATGAATTATCAAAACACTTAGCTCTAATATTATGCCCTCCATTAGAAATTTTTCAAACTGTAGACTAACTAATTCATATGAGATGAAAAATAAACTAAATAACATTCAACTAGAGAATGATGAAACAATGGTTAATTTTGATATAACTGTAACAACAGAAGGCAAGAGTCAGGTAACAGCTCGTTTATTAAGGAAATCAACACGTATTTATATATTTTCATGAACATTATTACAGCTTATTCAAGCAAACAAACACACTCTTCTGATTGGTTGTTTCCCACAGGAAGTTAACTTTGCATCTCTTTGTGACTATTTCTTGAATGTCAGGTCATCCATATGTTAACTGAATGTGCCTACGCAAAGTCTGCTGTGATTGGTTGTTGAATCAGTCCTGTTCATATTTTCTCACGACCAATATTAGTGACATAAACATTGACGTAAATTAATGTCTACCAATTTGGCTAGCATCCTGTTCTCACCACATAACTAGTCTTTATACTAACATACCAATCAATATGGCCTTAGAAGCAGTTAAAAAAGAATTAACTGCAAACGCTGAACTCACTTTTAGGATGAAACTACCCATTGAAGAAATTATTTTAGGAATTCAGTTATACCTCGCATCTACTGTCTTTAAATTCCAAGGTAAAATATATAGACAAACAGAAGGTGTAGCAATGGGATCACCAATATCCCCTATGGTAGCAGATATATTCATGGACAACTGGGAAAATATGACTCTTACTACGTTTAATCCTACTCCAAAAATATGGTGGAGATATGTGGATGACACTTTCACAGTGTTAAAAACAGAACATATCTCTAGCCTCTTGACATACATAAACTCACAAGTAGAGGGAATAAAATTCACATTTGAATCGGAAAATGAAGAGGGAGAGATTGTAAAATAAAGAACAGAAGAAGGAAAACTGCACACTAGTGTGTACAAAAAACCAACTCATTCTAATAGATACTTAGACTTTAAGTCAACTCATCCGTTAACTGTTAAGGCAGGCTTAGTTAAGTGTCTAACAAACGAGCAGTAGCACTAAGTAGCACAAGAAAAGACCTAAATGATGAACTAAAACAGATAGAAGAGGCTGGGGTGTTAAATAACTATCCTATAAAATTCATTAGGAAGATCGAAAAAGGCCAAACCAAAAATAAAAATAATTGTAAAACTAGTAATGATAACATAAATAAGAGAGAATATAAGTCATCTACAGTTTTACCATATAAAGAAGGGATATCTGAGACCCTACGTAGGATTCTAAATATAGCAGGAATTAGAGTGGCATTTAAACTCACAAACTCACTCAGGGACAAGCTGTGTAGGTTAAAGGACCCAGTTGACCAATTAGACAAAATAATATAATTTACAAAATACCCTGCAATGACTGCGATTGACGTCAACTACATAGGTCAAGCTAATAGGTCGGGATAGTTAGATTGTCGGAATATAAGAATTTAGCTAAGGTAAGAAGGATTGACCCGAGAAGATAAGTAATTTAGAAAAAAGCTCAGCAATTGCAATGCATGCATTAACACACAACCACACAATAGGGTGGTGAGAGGGTTAAAATTCTAAAAATAAATCTAGTCAGGTGGAGGGAGAGAGGTTGATTACTGAATCCTTATTCATCGAATCTACACACCCAACACATACAACAGAAATGATTCATCACTCATACCTAAAATGTGGAAAATACTACTCCCAATCAAATCAAGTGATGGAAAATAATGGAATTATACAAACGAATTTCGAAATTTGTGTTAGTAACTTGACAAGATTATAAGCAATAAATTGTGCTCGAAACATCATCAGTAAACATCACTGTGAAGCTTTATCAAAACAAAATTTACCCATAATGCAATCTTAGGGTTCGTCTCAAAACATTCAGGAAGACTCACTCACGAATGCAGTCCACATATGAGTCAGAGAATGAAAAAGTTTTATGATTTATTGATGTCCTGCTAACAAGAGAATCTAATGTCAATATTAGGTGGTGTGGTTTTCGTTATAAGTCAACAGCTGGTCAATATACCCATTTCAGATCGCTTGTTTCTATTTCGTAGACAATAAATCTAATCTTTCGTCCTATTGTGGTGAAAGCTGTTTGCTAGCTAAAATTGTAGGTAGCAATATTCGTCAGTGTTTACTTCCTGAATCGGGATCATGAGAAAAAAATCAATAACAAAGCTTAACCTTGAGGAACCCACCAACAGACTTAAAGGGTGCAAATACGATTCGCAGATATATGGATAACCTTGTAAGCAACGGTCACAAGCAATACAGAATAACCTTGAGCAAGAAGACGGCCAATCAGAAGACGTTGCTTCTCTGCTAACAATAAGGCTAATAATAATGTGCATAAAAATCTATAAATATCTGCTGATTTTATCAATAGAGGATATGTTGCCCGGTCCTTGTCTTCTGTCGTTACAATCTTTGTAAAATCTCAGAGAAATTGACATAAATAATCCGAAATTTCCGTTCGGCAAACTGTTCCGAACATCTTCAAGGATATTAATCGAAATAAAATAATAAAGGTTTATATATATCTTAGTAGAGATCTTATTATTAAAATCCTTGTCGATTGATGCCTGGGTTATGAAAACACATTAAAAAAAGAACAAAATGCCATGAATTGTATACTTTTGCATCAGACTTTAATGATTATTTCAATAAGGTATTTAGAAGACAAATTTCGTGAGATGATGTCTTCATTCCGTAGTTTCTTTACAACCGCTTTACAATTAACATGATGCACAATAATAATAAAGTGAAATGCATGACAATTACTCAGTTATATAAAACAAAAGTAGATACATACGAATGACCAATCATATTTAATTAGGTTAAGTAGTCCGTTGCAGATGAAGGTTGAAGTCTTTTGTTTTTTGTATACATAGTTTAGGATGTGTGATTAATCCCCAAAATGTTTCCGTCAACTTCAATAACCTTGAATTAGAGTTTAATAGTAGCCCCAAGGATCAAAAATGTTCGATGTGTAAAGGAAAGAGATGTGGAGTAGAATGTGCGTTTGATGGCTGACCGATGTTTTTGAGCTTTCAACTGCATTATTCAATCACATTTATCGATTAGCTTCGCCATATACAATCAGTTTTATTAGCTAAAGGCTATCCAGAAAACTTCACCAATTGTCATAGTAAAGATAGATCACATCTAGAAAAGACAGCTTCTGTATCAAGAAAAGCTGTCTTTGTTAACCTACCATTCAAGAATGATCAACTTATACAGCTGGCAGCTCAAAGACTTCGGTCAGTCATCAAGTACACATTCTACACCGCATTTCTTTCCCTCATATCTCCAACATTTCCGATTTTGGTGCCTACGATTAAAGGACGAAATCCTACGCACTCTACTTCAAAACTGTATCTACAAGTTAACCTGTGGCTGCAGTGACACCTACATAGGTAAAGCCAACATGATTTCCCAATGTCGTCGAAAACAACGTGTTCCGAAATGGTTATTAAAACACATAGGAAATCCCAATGCAATTAATCTGAATAGAAATCCATTATCATTCATTGCAAAGCACTTATTAATGTCAGGTCACAAAATCAGTATTAATGGCTGTTTTAAAATTATTTCACATAACTCTAAATCAAGGGTATTGAAGGTGACAGACAGAAGCACTTTAGATTAATCACATACAGCCTCAACTATGTGTACAAAAACAATAGACTTTAACTTTCGCCTACCATGGACTACTTGACCTTTTTAAATATGATTGGTCATTAGTATGTACTTTTGTTTTTTATATAACTGAGTATTCGTCATGATCTTTATTTTATTATTGTGAACCATGTGGGATGTAAAGCGGTTGTAAAGAAACTACGAAATAACGATATCATCGCACGAATGTTTTTCTTCTAAATGCCTTATTCAAGCTTATGTTCATATGTTCTGAATGACTGCATAGTTTTGTATACGTTCATTTGACAGTATTTAATAACGAACTATCTTTACATACTAAAATTGTACCCCAATACACATTCCGACAAAATTTTCATATACCTTAAATGGCTATTTTAATTCCAATAGTCATGAATTTATAACTATGGAAACTGAAGAGGATTTTCAAGTATTGGCTTTTTAGGGATTTTTGTTTGATTTCATGGACAGCTGTTTCGTCCTAGTTTGGGACTCTTCATCAATACGCACCCACGGGGATCCAAACCCAGGACCTTCTGGTAACAAGGCTAGCGAGCTCGTAGACCATTGAGCCACTGGGACCCAATCCTATGGTCCTTGATCCGATCATGATGAAATCCCCCATGCTATGAAAAAAATCCCTACAAAACCGATACTTGAAAATCAATCTGATCCTCACTAGCGAC